GGGGGCTGCGCCTGCGGCTGCTGCGTCGTTAATCCCGGGACGGAGCCTGCGCGGCTCCGGTATCCCAAGGGTGAACGGGCCCGGCGGGGGGGCGGCACGGGCCTGGGACCACCCCCCCTTTCCTCTGCCGCTGCACCGAGAAGGGCAGCCCCGGCCCCGTTGTGCCCCGCACAGGAGCTCCCCCCCGTCCCGGTGCCGGCGGTTCCCACCTGCAGCCGGGCGGCGAGAGCGAGTGGAAGGTGGAGAGCGAGAACATCTCGGCGCGATCCGCCATCTTCTCCCGGCCGGGGCTGCGCCGGACTGCGGAGGAGCGCGGGGGGGGCCGCGGGGCGAGCGGGCGGGGGGGGGGGAGCGGCGGGAGCGCGGCCGGGCGGGGCGCGGGGGCGGCGGGAGCGCGCGGGGGGCGGAGCCAGAGAGAGGGAGGGGCCGGGAGGTATGAAGGGGGGGCGGGATGTATGGGGAGGGGTTGGGGGTGGGTAGGAAGGGGGGGGTGTTATAGGCAAGGGGAAGGGATGTACAAGGGAGGGGAGACTGGGGGAGGAGAACGGGGAGGCTATGAATGGGGAGGGATGTATAGGGAGGGGGCTATTGGGGGAGGTAAAGGGGTGGTGTAGAGAGTGGTAGGGGGTGTATGGGGGAAGGGATGTAATGTGGGTATTGGGGTTCTAGAGGTTATAGGTTGGGGGGAGCAGCGAGGGCATAAAGATGGGAGCGAGGGGTATGGAGGAGGCGGGATGTAGGTGGGGTATTGGGGGAGTACGGGGTAGTATAGGCGGGGGCCTATCTAGAGTGGAGGAGAGGCTGTGGGGTGGTGCAGGGGGCTATGGGTGGGAAGAGACGGTGCCGGAATATGGTCATGGCTGAACATGGAGAGGGTGGGAGGCTGTGAGGGAAGAAGCTGTATAGAGGGTGGGAAGGAGGGGGAAGGGAGATCTGCGCAAGAGTCGGGGCAGGGGAGGGGGGTTACGTGAGGGCACTGTGAAGGGGATGCAGGGGGACTCATAGCGAGGTGTAAGAAGATGTATAGAAGGAATTCGGGGGGTACAGGAACGGAAAGCGGGGTTCGGGGGCATAGGAGAGGGGCAGGGGGTCTATGGGTCTATAGTGGGTGCAGGAGATGCAGAGAGGTTGCATAAGGGGGGGTGCAGGGGCTGGGAGCCGCACTGGGTAGGCCTAGGGGGGCAGACGCTGCCCCGGGGCTGCGCGGCGGGAGCTGTCCGGTATCCGGTGCTGAAAGAGCTGTCCGGTATCCGGTGCTGACGGGACGGAGGTGTCTGATGTACGGGACTGTATCGCGCACGGGGCTCGCCGGTGCCCAGTGCCCGGAGCTGACGGCCGGAGCATGGGACTGTCCGGGCCCGGTGCTAAAGGCCCGGAGCTCTCTGGTGTTCGAGGCTCTCTGGTGCCAGGATGGAAGTCTGAGGCTGTCAGGGTTCCGCTGCTGTAGGCCCAGGGCTCTCCACTGCATGGTGTCGGTGCTGTAGGCCCGGGGCTGCCCGGTGAAGGTGCTGCTAGACAGGGTAGGGGTCCAGAAGGAGTGGGCGGTTAGTGCTTCGGGAGCGGGGTGCAGCGGCTGAGGCCTGGGAGGTGCAGGGTGGGTGCCAGGAGGCTTGGGGGGGGGGGGGGGGGGGGGTCTGCATCGAGAGGGCACAGTGAAGGGGGGGAAGAGGGAATGGAAGCCACAAGGGGCCCTGCAGGATTTGGAGGGCGGGGGGGGCCTTGTACTGTGGGGCAGGAGGATGCAGTGAGGGCACCATGCTCCATGGCGGGCTGGAAAGTCGGGGGTGGGGAAACAGAAGCAGGGAACAGGGGAGATCCAGGGAGCACAGGAGGCCACAGGGGACAGTAGGTGCCAAGAGCTGGTGCATCTGGGCACGCCTCACAGTGGGTGATAGCGGGGGAAGGGCTGCTGGGAGCACTGGAGGTGGCGGGGTCATGTTGTAGAGTGCACACATGGTGCATGCGCATGCAGAGTGCACCACACAAAACAGTACACCTGCAGGTCCACCCAGACACACGCCTACATCCACTGTGCCCTGTGAGGGTGTGCTGGACTTGTCCCGCTCGCACATCACTGCTTGAGTGCCGTGATCGTAACCACATCAGGCCTTCAACACCCAAACATGTGCATACTGCCTGTAGTAATGTTCTCTGGTGTATGTTTCTTGGAAGTACCTGGTGGTAGACAGCTGCAGAGAGCATGGTGGCAGCGAACTCTCAGAGGCTCTGATGCCACACTGGTTTGTTTCCCTGCTAGCTGGGAGCAGCAGTGCTCATAGGCAGGTGCTGCTGCCGCCACAGGGCTGCATCCCTTATCCCACAAGCAGAGTGTTCAGAAGGGCTGTGCAGGGGGTGCCCAGTCCCAGGTCCTGCCTCCCCTCGTGCCTGGAACCCCCCATGGAACCAGCCCTTCCGTGACTTCAGCCCCAGCATCAAGGGCAACGTGGGTGCTGTGGCAGTTTGGCAGCTGCTGCAGTGGTGGCCGTCAGCCCTCAGATCGTCAGTGCTCGTGGGCATATGGCACTAATGGATTTGCTCCCCCTTTCATCCTGCTGGCCATGTGCTGGCCTGCCCATGGCACATGGGACAGCTGTGGGTAAGTGGCCTGAGGCTCTGGGAGAGAGCTTGGGGTCCCAGCTATGATGGGATTCACTGGAGGGTGTCTGCTTGTCCGCCAAGGCCACACCACCACCACACCCAAACCCTATATGAGGGCCTCTGTTCCCTGCCAGCCCCAGGCTGTTGGCACAACTCATCTATGGACTACAATAGAAACAGAGGCAGAGGGACACACATCCCACAGGGTTCCCTGGTCCTGCTGTCTATGCAGTGCCCTGTGGGGAAGGGACTGACCTTCAGCCCCAGCAGCAGCAGCCATCAGGCAGGACAGTGATGAGTTTGTCTCACAGGACCTGAGGGCTGCAGCCCATGGCTGTGTCTCATGGCACATCACGTGTTGTTGGGGGCACAGATGCCCAGCCAAGCTCCTGGCCATGGATCATCAGCATCCAGACAACCTTGCACAGAGGCATGGCACACATCTGCGGAGGGTCACTCATCAGCCCACAGTGGGTTCTCTCACAGCCCACTGCTTTGCGGCATCCAGGTCAGAGGTCCAGGGCACAGGAACATCTCCACAACACCAGCAGGTGCTGTCCACAGCACCACATGCTATTCCCATCACATTTCCCTGCAGAATACCCAGTGCCTGGGCACTGCAGAGCCCAGTGAGAGACTGCTCAGAGAAAGCTGGGCTTGTGCTACAGCCCCCTAGCAGCCTCCAGCTCAACCCTCCTTGAGCCTAAGGCACGCTGGGGGAGTCGCATCCTCCGTAACACTGTTACTACATTAGTTGAGAAACACAGGGCTATGGATGTTGTCTATCTGCACTTCTGTAAAGCCTGACACAGTCCCTCACAACATCCTAAACTGGAGAGGTATGATTTGATGAGTGGACTGTTTGGTGGATTAGGAATTGGCTGGATGGTCGCATCCAGAGGGTAGTGGTCAATGACTCAATGTCTGAATGGACACCAGTGACAAGTGGCATCCCTCAGTGTCTGTACTGGAACCAGTACTCTTTAGTGTCTTCATCAACAACACAGACAGTGGGATTGAGTGCATTGTCAGCAAGTTTGCAGATGACATGCAGCTAAGTGGTGCAGTTGACATGCCTGAGGGAGAAGATGCCATCCACAGGAACTCAGATAGGCTTGAGGCTCATGCAAACCTCATGAGGCTCAACAGGGCTAAGTGTAGGGTCCTGCATGTGGGCCAGGGCAACCTCCAGTATCAATACAGGCTGGAGGATAGAGGGATTGAGAGTAGCCCTAAGGAGAAGGACTTGGGGGTACTGGCAGATGGAAGATTGGCCATGAGCAGGCAATATGCACTCACAGCCCAGAGGCCAATCATATCTTTGGCTGCAACCAGAGGAGCATGGCCAGCAGGTCAAGGGAGGTGATCCTTCCCCTCTTCTCTGGTGAGATCCCACCTGGAGTCTGCATCCAGCTCTCGAGTCCTCAGTACAGGAAAGACATGGACCTGTTGGAGAGGCTCATGAGAAGGACCTCAAAAATTATCAGAGGGCTAAGACTTTCTTCTACTATGAAGAATAGCTGAGAGAGTTGGAGCTGTTGACCCTGGAGAAGAGAAGGCGCTGGTGCCTTTCAGTTCTTAAAAGGGGCCTGTAAGAAACTTGGGGACAGACTTCAGCAGGGCCTATTGGGAGAGGATGAGGGGTGATGTTTTTAAACTTGAAGAGGGGAGACTCAGGCTGGATGTGAGGAAGAAATTCTTTACAATGAGGGTGGTAAAATATAGGAAGGTGGTGGATGCCCCATCACTGGAGACATTCAAGGTCAGGCTGGATGTGGTCCTAGGAAACATGGTCTAGTTGAACATGTCCCTGCTCATTGCAGGGTGGGGGTGGACTAGATAAGCTTTGAAGGTCCCTTCCAACTCAAACCATTCTCTGATCATACATTCCTATTCTATGACTGCTTTCCTCTCTCCCTTGGGAAGCAGCAGGCATGCGGCTGTGCTCCCTCTGAGCCCTCTTTCCATCTGACTACTAGGCATGTCCCAGTGTAGCGCGTGGTGATCGGGGCCACCCAAGTGTCTCAGCTGGGCCCTGAGGTCCAAGTACACAGGATTAAGCAAGTGATTGTTCATGAACCCTACACCAACATCTCAGAGGGGAATGACATCGCCTTGCTGGAACTGGACCAGCCTGTCCAGTGCAGCGATTATGTTCAGCTTGCCTGTGTGCCCAATGCCTCACTGGCAGTGTCCCAGCTGACAGACTGCTACATCAGCGGCTGGGGTTTGATGGATGCAAGATGCGAGTTCCCAAAAAGCACTTGTGTCCCCAGGGCAAGCTTGGCACACAGGGGGCACGGGCCAGGCTCCCCAGCAGCAGAGGCAAGAGGCAAATGTCAGGGATGTGTGCCTCAAGAGATGGGCCTGACCCACTGTGCGGAGCAAGACAGAAGGGAAACATGGGTCCAATGCCTCTCAACGGGCAAAACCATGCGCTAAGGAAAGGGCTCACCCAGACAGGGCAGGAAAACTGGTCACAAGCTGCTGTTTCTGTGCTCACAGTTGGAAAAGTAGCTGATAGTGTGCAGGAGGCCAGGGTCTATCTCATTGATATCAACGCCTGTAACAGCAGCCGGAGGTATCCAGGGGACATCCTTAGCCACAACTTATGCACCGGGTACCTGCAGAGCGGCATCGACTCGTGCCAGGTAGGAGCGTGGAACAGGTCAACCCCCAGCAGCACAGGCAGCCCAAACAGAACGTGGCACATGCTTTGCCTGGCAAGTCACCTCCCACCCTGGGGTCCACAGCACTGCTGGGGCTTCCCTCCCCTCTTCCATCTGCAGCTGCTTGCCCAGTGCCCCCCTCATCCCAGGGTACTCTGCTCAGGAAGCCCATCCAGTGCTTCTGGCAGCCCAGAGGTCCAGTTCCCAATCCTGGAATGTCCGTCTTCCTCACACCCAGGATCCCTACACAGAGATGAGGGAGAGCCCAACCTCACAGCCCTGCAGCCCCCTCCAGACAAGGTTCTGTAGGCTCTGGCACCTGAGCAGAGCTTCTGTGCAGTGAATGCAGCTCTGGCAGCTCTGTGAGAGAAGGAGCCAGCCTTAGTGCCAATGGCCACCAACAGCACCCTCATCCACTCTCTTCCGCTGCAGGGTGACAGTGGTGGTCCCCTTGCATGCAAAGATAACAATGCTGACTACTACTGGGTTGTGGGAGTGACCAGCTGGGGGAAAGGCTGCGTGAGAGCACAACAGCCAGGAGTCTACACCTCCACTCTGCACTTCTATGAATGGATCCTCGTACAGATGGGACTGCACCCAGGAACAACAGCTAATCCAACACTACAGCCAGTCTTCACCTCACCTCCTACTCAGAGGCCAAGGCCAAAGCCAAAGCCAAAATCAAAGTCAAAGTCAAAGCCAAAGCCAAGACCAACAGAATCAGGCACCATTAACTCCTGCCCATTTCCACAACAGAAGCTGGTGAAACTCCTTACTCAGGTGCAGGAGCTCCTGAAGGCCCTAAAGGAAAAAAGGCTTTCAGCAGCAGGATGAACAGGAGCCAGGGTAGGCTGCAGTGTACCACAGCCATTTCCCTCTGGGGCAATGCATGCTTACTCAAAAGCTGCCTCACTATCAAAGGCCTGCTCCATCTTTCCATGCTCTTCATAATTCAGACAAATGTTGACTTGTTCCTGAAATAAAGCTAGTTGTTTTCACAGCTAACATGCATCAGTACAACTCAGTCTCCTGTGCAAGGCAAGCACTTCCATGCCCAGCACCTGCAAAATGAGGCTGCAGGCAGTTAACTCGGGCACAAAGAGAAGTGGTCTCCCAAAGGGGCTGAAACTTTGCCTGCTCAGAGAGAAGGGTGCTCAGAGCCTCTATTGGATGAGTAAGACTGGCCAATCGAGACTAGGAAGAGGGTAGGAAAAACAGATGTGCCATGCAGACAACACCGGTTGTTTGCATTAAAGCACGCAAGCTCACGTTCAGGGGTTGGCATAAGCATTAGCAAACTGAACTGATTAGGGGGAACTCCTGAGCATGATGAGAGAAATTGCTGACCACAGCAAACAGTTAAAAGTTGACAGGATTTAAGGTGCCATGAGGAAGAGCCCGATTTCTCTGGCAGCTCAGGGTAAGAGTGTCTGGTGGGTTTGGGATAGTGTTCCAGTATGGAGGTAGAGCAGCAAGAGGTTAGGAGCAGTGGCAGCAGGAAGGCTTAGGAGTGCAGTTTGGTACACAGCAGGGCTGCAGGGAAGGATCCCTGCCCTTTCTGATCTGGCTTCCCCCAAACTCCATGCGCTGCTCAAAAAGCACTTTGTGCAGTTGGATCTCCTTCAGGACCTGCAGAAGCTCTGGCCCCACACCGCTCTGCAGCAGATCGTAGTTCTCAGCTGGGTCAGACTCCAGGTCAAACAGCAGTGGGGGCAGGTGGGGTGTCAGCGGGGTGAGCCCATGGCAGGCCTCATCTGGGGTTGTATCACTGTGCAAGGAACCTGCAAAAGAATCCCCTGGAGCAGCTCAGTTTCTTCTCTTGGAGCTTTGGACAGCAAAACCAAGTGGGACATCATAAAGCTGCTATGCAGAGGAGAGGAGGCAGCACTAACCTTGTGTGAAGTAATGGGCCTTGTACTTCCCAAGCCTGACAGCAAAGGGACCATGCAATGGATCAGGGGATGGCGGGTAGAAGAACATCGTCTGACGGGGACTCTGTGGGAAGCAGCAGAGTGAAGCTCACCCATCCAGCCATGAGGCTAAAGAGTCTGCAACAGGGCCAGGCAGAGACTCCAGGGATGCTACACAGAGCACAGATGCTGCACTGAACACATGGCCAGATGGGGGGGGGAGCTGACGAGCAGCAGCATCTGACTGCTCTGACTGCTCCCTACTCAGAGATACTGGGGCTCTGCCCATGCACTGCAGCCATGGACTGGGCTTGGCAACATGCTGCAGTTGTTAAAGCAGCCTGAAGAAGCTGCTTCCCAGGCCAGACCAGCCCTCAAGACTCACCTTCCCCGACCCAAACAGCACCGGGCTCAGGTCATAGCCATCCAGGGCAACTTTGGGAAGAGATGCTCCAGCCAGGGCAGTCAGTGTTGGCAGGATGTCCAGGGTGCTTGCCAGCTCATGCGTCACTCCTATCACTCACCATAGCCAGGCATAAGGAAACATTCAAGTACCTGATCCCACTCCCATCCCTGCATTCCCACTTCCCTTCCATCCTCTGCTTGTCCCGGGGCAGCCAAGCTGCTTCAGCTGGCATCAGCACTCAAAAGGGACAAGCAGTGCCAAGTCTCACCTGGAGTGATACGGCCTGGCCAATAAGCCACCGCTGGCTCCCGCATGCCACCTTCGTATGTTGTGCCCTTCCCACACTTCAGAAGGCCAGAGCTGCCTCCACGTGCCATCCGCAAGGTGGAAGGGCTGTGAGAGAGAAGAACCACCTACCATCAAGTTTCACAGGTCCACACTACCCCTTCCCTAGTACTGCTAAGAGGGTCATGACAAGAGAGACATGGTGTTAGCAAGTGACACTGCCATCCTTCTCAGCCTCAGGAGGCAGGAGGCATGGGGCAGGTGAAGAAGCCAAGGTGTGCAAGAGGCCTAAGCAGGGCACCAGAGACCAACTACACCCCCACACCAATGGAACTGGGTCTATTTGGGCTACTGGCCACTCCTGGCCTGAACCCTGTGAGGTTTCTGTCCACAAGGGGCACAGCTGAGTCACAAGAACAAGGAGCAGATCATGCACTGGGTCCTCTCCAGAGCAGGATCCACCTCTTGTCTCACTTCAGGTCATTGAGATCTCACCTGGCAATGCCATGTGCCCTTTCCCCAAGCAAACCAATGCCTCATGCCACTTCCCTCGCACCATGGATGCAGAATCTTACCAGTAACGAAGTCCCCCCAGCTGAGCCCACTCACCCATTGTCAGAGGTGAAAAACACCAAGGTTGTGTTTGCGAGGCCACTTTCCTGCAGTGCCTGTAGCAGCTGTCCCACTGAACCATCAAACTCTGCAAGTGCATCTCCAAATGGCCCACGCCTTGACTGCCCTGTGTACTCCTGGCTTGCAAACTGGGGGTAGTGGGTATGCTGGAGAAAGGGCAGAGAAGACCGCTACGAAAACTCCCAGAGCTGCTTCTTGTTCCCAGTTCACCCAGAGACGGTCAGCACCCCAGCTAGGACATGGAGATAGGTGACAATACCCATGAGGTGAAAGAAGGCTTGTCCCCAAGCTTCAGAAGCATCTCTCAGAAATGGCACAAAGGAGACGTGCAAACTTGGGGTGGGAAGTTTTCCTGGGTGAACACTTGGCCCAGGGAAGCAGGCAAAGCTCCAGAAAGAAGCAGCCCAAGAACATCATAAGCACGGTGCTGCCACAAGGCAAGGGCACATGAGCACCACCCCCAGGTCACCCAGCAGCAGGTACTGACTACTCAGCACAGTTCTGGGCTGCAGGAGCTGAGACACTCACTGCTCTCCATGGAGGATAAAGGGTCCCTTCCCCACCCCTGGACCCGCAACAGTGCTCCCCTCTCCTACGTGGGAGGCATAGTAGAGCAGGAAGGGGATGCCTTGTCGGGCGCAGTCAGCGATGAAGTTCCGTGAGAATTTGTTGTAGAGTGGCACCAGATCAGGGAAAGAGACCGGCTGCTGCACAATGCTCTGGTTCCAGAGGAGCGGGACTGGCACTACACCTTGGTCACAAGTCCCAAAACACTTGATGTCAGGTGGGAAGCAGGTTAGATTCTGGCAGGGGCCCTGGAGAGAACAAGTAACACCTTTTGGTTTACCTGTGTTGCAGGACAGGGAGGGGAGCACTCTCACAGCAGCCCACCACAAGGTCCTACAGGCACCCTTTGGGGAGCCTCTCCCAGAAAGCCAGGGCTCTGTGCCCACCCACCCATCCAAGGATCATACTGCCTCACCCCAATTTCTCATGGAAGCTCTGCAGATGTTTCTTTGTAGCCCAGAATCTGACCCTCTCTCCCCTGACAAAGGACAATGTCCCCATGCACAAGTACCCAACCACACGAGCACCTCAGAGATGGCCTTTCTCCATCAGCACCCATCTCCCTGGCCTGCAGCCACCCTCACCCATCTGCCCAGGAAAGCACTGGCCTGCCCCACATGCTCTCAAGCAGCTTCATCTGTGGGGCACTGCCCCCAGCCAGTTCCAGGACACCCCTCAGAGCTCGGCAGGCCTCTCACCTGGTCATGGGAGTAAGGGATCCCCAAGAAGTGGTCAAAGCCCTGGTGGACGGGCAGGAAGGAGCCATTCATCCCCAAGCCAAGGTGCCACTTGCCAACCATGGCTGTGGCATAGCCCGCAGCCTTCAGCACCTCTGCAATGGTGACCTCAGACAGCGGCAGCCCCCCCCGCGAGCCTGGGCTGAACACCCCCGGGTAGACCCCGGAGCGCATCTGGAACCGGCCTGTCAGCAGGGCTGCCCTAGGGGAGAGAAGACCGGATAGAGCACGGCACGGGTCCCTCTCCAAAGAGGGATCCCTATCCCCGCCTCGGGCCCTGGCAGCCCACAGCTGCCCCGGCCGCATATATCCGGTCTGCACCGGCCCCGCACCGAGCAGCCCCCAGGGCACAGCGACCTCCTCACCCCCCCACCCCGTTCCTCCCAGCACCGCAGCTCCCGGTGGGTGCCCAGCCCTGCCCCGACGCTTCCCGAGCTCGGTGCCCTCCCCGGGGCCCCGCAGCAGCCACCGGCCAGCGGGCTGGGAGCCGCGGGGCACGTACCGGGACGGGCTGCACACGGGGGAGCTGCTGTAGAAGTCGGTGAACCGCAGCCCTCGGGACGCCATCCAGTCCAGGTGCGGCGTGGCAGACGAGGGGTGCCCGTAGCTGCCCAGGTCCCCGAAGCCCAAATCGTCCGCCAGCACCAGGACGAAGTTGGGGGCGGCGGCGGCCGCTCCGCGCAAGGCCAAGAGGGCCAAAACCGCCACGGCCCGGGACAGCCGCAGGACCCACTGCCCCATTGCGCTGCCGCCAGAGAGGCCCCGCCGGTACCGGGCACCGACACCGCGCACCATGTGACCTAGCGCCGCCGCGGGGCGTGCTGGGAGCCGTTGTAAGTAGCGGGAAGCTGCGAGCGGCGGAGCCGGACCGGGACTGCCCCGGCGGGACACGGGTGGCAGCGAGCGGATGTCTCCTGCGCTGGGGCTGGGTGGCCCGGGGGAAAGGCCGCTGTCCCCCTTCCGTGGCTGGCAGCAGGTGCCGGCCCAGGCCGTTGCTCCGGGCTTCCTGCCTTCGGGAAGAGCCGAGGAAGCCGCTGTTCTGGTGCGCGCAGGGTGCAGGACCCACGGGACACGCAGAGCTGCCGGGAGCAGGCTGCGCTCTGTGGGAGCCTGGGCGCTCTTCAAGCAAGTGTGTTTGCGTACAGCAACGGCAGTTTCGCCTTCAGCCTCACAGACTGCTGCTTGTGCCTGAATATAGGAGCCCATATCGGGCAGATCTGTGACGTGTAAACAGAGCAGGGACAGTGCAAAGAGCAGCAGCAGCTCTCTGAGGGAAGGGAGTGATAAGGAGAACAAGGGAAAAAGGGGTAGGTTCAGCACCCGGGAAGGCTGCACCCGACTGCAGTGTCTGCTTTTGAAAACCAGAAAAAGCTCAAGAACAGGCAGAGAAGGGAACTGAGGAGAATGTCCTGAAGGCCTCTGTCTGCACAGTTTATCCAGAAGAGTACAGCAGGACCCGAGATGCTGCACAAAGCACAGGCA